AGGTGGAGGTGGAGGTGCCGTTGAACGAGCTGGTGCTGCACGACCTCGACGACGAGGAGCAGGGGTGGGCGTACCGGCTCGTTGACGACGAGTGGAGGAGGCGGAGGGCTCGCCGCGTCCGCGTCCGTGGCCATCGCCGCCATGGCCTTCCTCGCCAGAGGCGGCGTGGCAGTGCCCTTCGCAGCCGCCGAGGCCGAGGCAGCGGAGGCGTTGGCGGCGGCGGCATCCTGGCGCGAAGATGGGGACGCGGAGGCGCGCGCGGTGCGCGGCCTGGAGGCGGTGGCGGCGGGACGCAAGGATGGCGCGGCTCCAGTGCGTGCGCCCGCGAGCGCGTGGTTGGCCATCTCCGGTCACCTCCCCGCCGGTTTCCCTCCTATGCTCCGACGAGCTCCTCGGCCCCGTCACGTGAGCTCCGTCGCTACTCCGCTCTGCTCCTCCTCCCGTGCACGGAGCATCACCATCACGCCGCCGAGCACCAGCATGTCACGCGGCAGCTCGTCCGCGTCAAGCTGTCGGTGGCTGCGTCGCTGGCCATTTGCTGTACGATTTGCGGTCACGATTCAATGGCTAATCTACGATTTGCGCCGTCGGCCATGGCGAGTGGGGGAGGAGTAGAGTTGCTCGGTCCTTCTCTTCCTTCCACCCACCACCTGTTCGACACAACGCCTGAGTAGGTAAACTTACCAGCACGAAGAAAAGGTGATTCTATCAAAAACAAACAAGCAATCAAACACGTCATTTACTAGCTAGACTTACAGCCAATCAAACAACCAGTGATTAGCTTGCCAGGGACAGGCTAAGTCTAATCAGACTTGAAAGCTAAGCCAGGCTAGAAATAAGCCTGGCAAACCAAACACAACCAAAGTGCTTGGTTTGTCACCGTCTGTTATGCCGTCAGATTAATGTCGCCATGACATCATTTCACCGGCAGACCTGCTTCAGAAATGGGTAGTGAAAGAATAAGATAGCACAGTTCAAAAAAAATCCTCAAAAATGGGCTTGGCCCAACGTACGTACAAAATGGGTCCAGACTGCTAAATGGGCTCAGCTGCCTCTTCTTTTCTCCGCTCCCTTCCCCCCGTCGTCCCAACCGCGCCCGCTCCTCATTTCCTTCCTTTCCCAAACCGCCTGGCAATGGCAATCGGCACGAGCCCACGACCTTGTAGACGTGGGCTGGGCGTAACCCATGGAGATCACCGAGGAGCAGCGGCGTCGCTCCGAGGCCAACCGCCTCGCCGCCCTCGAGAAGCACAAGCGCCTCGCAGTGGCTGCAGCCGCGCCTGCCACCGCCTTTCCCGCCTCCGGTGCCCCCACATTCCCTGCCTACGACACTGCCGCCGCTGCTGTCGAGTGGAGGCTCGTCAAATGCCCAAGAATCGCCTCTCCCTCTTCTAACTCCAGCCGTAGTGTGTGCGAGAACGCCGGTGAACGGTCGGCTCACCCGTGCGGGAGATCCCGGACACAACAAGTGGTATCGGACCCGTACAAGCGCCGTCGCCGGACTAACCGCTGGCGATGACGGACGGTTCGGAGATGGGCGACAGCAGCGGCGCTGCTGTGGCTGCACAGCCACGATGGGAGGTCGTCGTGTGCACGGTACGGGAGGTCAGCGGCACCAGTTGGTCGACGCTGACTCGCACCAACTATGGCGAATGAGCGGTGACCATGAAAGTCAAGCTTAGAGCCCGATGGCTCTGGAATGCTATTGACAAGGGCACCAACAACGAAGAAGACGATATGTCAGCGTTGGAGGCTATCCTCGTTGCTGTGTCAGCGGAGTACAGGGAGCCGTTGGTGGCGAAGAACTCTGCTAAGGAGGCGTGGGAGGCCATTGCAGCGATAAGCGTCGGCTCCGACCGCACAAAAAAGGCGACGACCTAATTACTGAAGCAGGAGTACGCCAACCTCAAGTTCAAGGATGGTGAGTCGGTGGAGGACTTCTCCCTCCGTCTGCAGTCGCTCATCAGCAAGCTAAGGAACCACGACGTCACCATCGACGAAGAAGAGACGGTCTCCAAGTACCTCCACTCCGTGCCGGTGAGACATCTTTTTTTTTTGTCGATGTGAAAGCTGGTTTTTATCGCACTTTCGGTATATTGTTTGATCACACATTATGTATCGCAACCCTCTAAGTTCTTTGCTTGCTCTTGATTCAGGCTTGAACTCTAAGGTCTACTGTATATGCTTTTCAGTTATAATATACCGTTAGCAACGTGGTCATCTAGTAAACCATGTAACCTTTAACTTTTATTATTTCAATCTCACTTTATGTGTGCATAATGTGAAAAATAATGAAATTTTGCTTTCACAAGTTGATTGAAATGCTATAGCCCACATAACATCCCCTGTGAACTATCAAAGACAAGACCATTCAGATGTCTGATACCTAGTGTCTGCTTGGTCTATCTAGGTTGATTTTTTTCTTCAGTTTGACTTACTGACTTGTCTTTGGGATTTTCAGGAACTTTTGGATAAGCTAGCATTTGAACATATTTTAATGAGTTATGTATGTTTTACCTTTTCGTATCAAAAGATGTGATATTCAATCCGAAGCTAAGCTAGCTGCTAACATAAGTTCAAATCTAGAATGCTTTTGGTTCTTTAAGTGTAAATTAAATGGGTTTATTATCAAGAAAATAACTTTCAAATCATAGATTTGTACTTTGGTTGTAAACTGCGCTAGTATTAATGAAAGACCACTGTTTTACAAAATATGGCTAATGTCTTATCACTTCTCCCTTGTGTGATTGACTTTCTAGTTCTGAATATATTCTTTTGATCTTTGTTTCCAGTTCATATAGAGGAAGTATCAAGTGTACAATAGTATATTTGGTGCACATATGCGCCAACTCAATCTCACCCCACGGGTCCAATATGAAGGGCTGAAGTGAGGTGGACCTAAGTCAGCCCAAAAGGGATGAGAGAACTCCCACCTCGAACTTGAACCTTTAAGACTGAATATTTGGATCTGAAGGATGGGATTGAGTTTTTGCATATGTTTCACCAGTATGCTCTTGTGCACCTGATATTTCCTATTTTGTATAAAGACCATATGTTTAGATGTTTAAATTATATCTATTATTTTCTCATTTTCAGTATTTGGTCATCAAGACAGTCTTGAACATCTAAATGCTACTCCAAGGGCAGTGATTACTTCTTACCAGATGCTACTTAGGGAAAGTATGGTGAATAGAACATGGGCACTGATGATTGTTGATGAATCGCACAACATACGCTGCACGAAGAAACGAGAAGAAAAATATGAGGTATAGATGTTATCTTGAAAAAAATAAACAATCTCATGTTTCAGTACAAGCATACAGCTCTCGAATGCCCCAATCTATGAAGGAGATTCTGTTCCTTATTATTTGACACATCCTATCATTATTTTTAAGATCAAGACTTTGTTAGGCTTACTTTCCTATATTACAAAAAATTGACTTCGAGATGATTTAGTGAACTTCCACATTTCTTCATCATTCAGCTTGATTCTCCACATGCCTATGCAGCAGCAGTAGCAGCAGCAGCAGCAACAACAACATAGCCTTTCAGTTCCAAATAAGTTGGGGCAGGCTAGAGTTGAAAACTTGAAACCCACCAAGAGCCCCAAGTCACGGTTCAGGCACTTCAATAGCTGTTTTCCGAGCACTCCTATTCAAACATAGATCTCTAGTATATCCCAAGCTTTCAAATATCTTTTTATTGCCTCTCCCTATGTCAATTTCGGTCCTCCTCTAACTCTCATATTATTAGCTTGGCTTAGGACTCCACAATGCACTAGTGCCTCTGGAGATCTCCTTTGGACATGGCCAAACCACCTCAATTGATGTTGGACAACCTTTTCTTCAATTGGTGCTACCTCTAGGCGATCATGTATATCATCATTCCAAACTTGGTCCATTCTTGTGTGACCGTAAATCCATCGCAACATATGCATTTCTGCAACACTCAGTTGTTGAACATGTCGAATCTTTGTAGGCCAACATTCTGCTCTATACAACATGGCCGGTCTAATCGCCGTTCTATAGAACTTGCCTTTTAACTTTTGTGGTACCCTCTTGTCACGTAGAATGCCAGAAGCTTGTTGCCACTTGATACACCCTGCTTTGATTCTGTGGCTAACGTCCGCATCAATATCTCCATCCCTCTATAGCATCGATCCCAGATACCGAAAGGTATCCTTCTTAGGCACTACTTGACATTTCAAACTCACATCTCCCTCCTCCTGTGTAGCTCCGCCAAAGTCGCATCTCATGTATTCGGTTTTAGTTCTGCTCAATCTAAAACCTTTAGACTTAAGGGTCTGCCGTTATAACTCTAGTTTTCTATTTACTCCCGTCTGGCTTTCGTTCACGAACACTACATCATCTGCGAACAACTATGTTACACGGATACGTCCCTGAAGTCGCATATCGCGTATCCGATACGTATCGGATACGGATAAATGTCCGATACGCCCAGGATACATATCCTCCGAGTATCCTTCTTTTTTTATTTTCGTGAAAATCGGATACGCCGTCGGACACGTATCCTGCGTGCCGATACGGCCTAGCCCAGTGGAAGCGTAGGAAGACTGACCTTATCCTCTGCCCCGACGCCCTAGCGTCCGCTGTCCGCTGTCCGCGTCGCGCCGCATCCCCGCGCAGCGCCGCAACCCTGCTCGCCAGCTGCCGGCCACCGGCGACAAGCCTCCGCCTCCGCTCGCCGGCGACGAGCCTCCGTCCCTACTCGCCGGCCGCCAGCGACGAGCCTCCGCCTCCGCCCGTCGGCCGCCAGCGACGTGGATCCACCTCCGCTCGCCTCCGTCCCTACTCGCCTCCGCCCTGCGACGTGGATCTCGTGAGGTAATCCCCTTCCCTCTTCTTCTCCATCTACTTGCTGCTTGATTTCTTTGCTCCCCACGCCGCATCCCCATCGGGCGTCGAAGCGGATAGCGGTGGGCGCGGCTTGCGTGGCTGCTGTACTGCACGCTGGCGACGGCGACCCCAAGATCATCCACCATGGCGTCAAGGCCGCCAGCGTGTTCTTTGGATGAGCACCACGAGGCCGTGGTGGGGGACTTCGGCCGCAAGCTGTTGGACCGCGGCGACTTCGTTACGTCACTGCACGGCGGTCGCGGCGGCACCATGGGCCACATCGGCGCCGAGTACCTCTCCATGGGGCGGTCGTCGGAGAAGACGGACGTGTTCGGCCGGGATCTGTTCTTTGGAGCTCGTGGCCAGGCGGGCGTGGCGCTCGAGCTTCGGCAAGGCCTCGACGCCTTACCTGCGACCACAAGGCGTCGTCATCTTTGGATTGATGTACGTACTCTATCCGAAATAAAGCTTTTGAAATCTATATATGTCGCTTAGGAAAGATTCATTTTAATATGCGCTATTATATATTTTTATTTAAAAAATAGTAAAACGTATCCGCGTATCGGGTTTTTTAGAAAATTGCCGTATTCGCGTATCCGTATCCTTCCGATACCGATAAGCGTATCCGTATCCGTGCTGCATAGGCGAACAACATACACCAAGGGATATCTCCTTGTATGTTCCTGGTAACCTCATCCATTACCAAGGCAAAGAGATACGGGCTTAAGGCTGACTCTTGATGAAGTCCAATTTTAATCGGGAAGTAATCTGTGTTACCATCGTTTGTTCGAACACTAGTCACAACATTGTTGTACATATCCTTGATGAGGGTCACGTACTTTGATGGGACTTTATATTTGTCCAAAGCCCACCACATAACATTTCTTGGTATCTTGTCATAAGTTTTCTCCAAGTCAATGAAAACCATGTGGAGATCCTTCTTCTGCTCTCTAAACCGCTTTATAACCTGTCTTATTAAGAAGATTGCTTCTGTGGTTGACCTTCCGGGCATGAAACCAAATTGGTTTGTTGATATCTGCGTCGTTCCTCGCAGGCGCTGCTCGATGACTCTCTCCCATAACTTCATAGTGTGGCTCATCAACTTAATTCCCCGATAATTAGTACAATTTTGGATATCTCCCTTATTCTTGTAGATTGGTATCAATATGCTTCTTCTCCACTCCTTAAGCAACTTGTTCGATCGAAAGATATTGTTGAACATCTTGGTTAGCCATACTATAGCTATATCCCCGAGACATCTCCACACCTTGATTGGGATACCATCATGGCCCATCGTTTTGTTCCCTTTCATCCTTTTCAAGGCTTCTCTGACCTCCGATTCTTGAATCCTCCGCACAAAGCGCATGTTAGGTGTCATCAAATGAGTCGTCCAGCTGAACGGTGGTGTTCTCGTTCTCACCATTGAATAATTTATCAAAATACTCTTGCCATCTATGTCTGATCTTATCCTCTTTCACCAAGAGTTGCTCCCTCTCATCCTTTATGCACTTGACTTGGTTGAAGTCCCTTGTCTTCCTATCACGAGCCCTAGCCATCCTATAAATGTCCTTCTCTTCTTCCTTCATACTGAAACGTCGGTAAAGGTCCTTATAGGCCTGCCCCTTTGCCTCACTCACCGCTCGTTTTACAATCTTCTTTGCCATCTTGTACTTCTCTATGTTGTCTACACACCTGTCATGATACAAGCGCTTATAGCACTCATTTTCCTTAATAGCCTTTTGCACATCTTCATTCCACCACCAAGTGTCTTTCGAGTCGCATCCACTCCCTTTGGTCACTCGAAGCACCTCTGAAACAACCTTCCGAACGCATATTGCCATCTTCTCCCACATGCTGTTTGCATCGCCTTCATCCTTCCAAGGGCCCTCTTCAATGACCTTTTCTTTAAAGACCTTTGATGCCTCCCTTTCTAATTTCCACCACGTCGTTCTAGCAACCCTAGCTTGTTTGTTCCCACGAGCTTGCACCAGAAAGCGGAAGTCAGCCACCACCAACTTGTGTTGAGCGACCACACATTCTACAGGTATCACCTTACAGTCCACACATGTTCGTTTATTCCTCCTTGTAAGGACAAAGTCAATTTGACTAGAGTACTGTCCGCTACTAAAGGTCACTAAATGGGACTGTCTCTTACGAAAAAAAGTGTTAGATATCATTAGATCAAAAGCTATGGCGAAGTCTAAGACTTCCTCTCCCTCCTAGTTTCTACTACCATATCCGAAACCCCCATGAACCGCCTCGAAACCTGCACTTGATGTACCTACATGGTCATTAAGATCACCTCCTATAAAGAGCTTCTCGCTACTAGGGACAGCTTTAACCAAGCGATCTAAGTCTTTGCAAAAAAGCCGCTTAGCACTCTCATCATGGCCTACTTGGGGGGCATACACACTAATTACATTTAAGATCATATCACTAATGATAAGTTTAGCTAAGATGATCCTATCCCCTTGCCTTCTCACCTCCACCACACCATCCTTGAGGCTCTTATCAATCAAAACTCATACTCCATTTTTATTTGAAGTTGTCCCTGTGTACTAGAGCTTGAAGCCAGTATTGTTCACCTCCTTCGTCTTCTGCCCCTTCCATTTAGTCTCTTGGTCGCATAAGATATTTACACGCCTCCTAACCGCTGTGTCCACTAACTCTCTTAACTTACCCGTAAGGGACCCGACATTCTAGCTACCTAAACGGATCCTAGTTGGTTCGACTAGCTTCCTTACCCTTCGCACCCGTCGAGGTAGGTGTGAAGACCCTTGCTTATTTTACACTACACCCGGGCGCCGATGTGGCGCGCCACTAAGGATGCGACGACCCGATCCTAACTCACTTGACACCGTGTCCAGTTCGCGACACGGCGCGTCACGGGGGTGACGACCCGGCCCTTGCTCATTTAACACCATACCCGGGTACCGACATGGCGCGTCGCTAATGCGCTTCTATAAAAAAAGGGGAACTAGTTACCACATATGATTCATTTAGTTTTCATATTATTAATCTGAAATATCAACGTTCCACTTGCTTCTTGTATTGACTTGCTTGCCTTGTGATAGACAAAAGCTGTACTACATCTAGCTTCAAAAACTGATCGCATCATATTGCTCTCCGGGACACCCTCTCTCTCAAGGTTATAAAGATATCCATCATACTCTTTGAGTTCCTTGCGCTATTGAAATTGTACTCTACTACTCTTTATATTTCATCCGTGATGCATGAAAATAGTTTTCTTACTATTTATTTTCTCCTAGGTGATAATAGACCTTTTGATATCTACCACCAGATAAATATGCTATGGTAAGTAAAAGAAAATGGCATCTTATTGTCTTTTGGTCTTATGAAGCTCTTTAAATTGTTCTGTTGCAATATTGTTGTTAATCACCCTACCCCCACTGCTTTCAGGCCCCACATGCTTGGTAGAGATAAATTTGATTATGCGAAAAATATTGCTTGCTGCATGCTCCACGAAGTTATCAGGGGAAAATATTTAAGGTATGTGATTCCTTGGTTTGTAAAGGCATATCACTGTTACTAGTTCTATTCCCTAAGCTATGGCTCCTATGGGCTGTCTGCAGAGCTGTTGTTCGCTAAGTGGGGTAAAATCTATGCTGTGCATGTAGAAACTAAATATAGCAAACCATGAAATAATGCATGAAAAACTTTTCAACTAGTTTCCCCCCCTTAAAGAAACAGGAGTTCTGCAAACCAGTTAATAATTGTAGTGGTTTATAACAGAAAAGCTCTAGAGCAGGTATTATATATTAAATGCTACGAAAGAGTGGTTGGATAGATGGTTGCAAGGCAGGACAATCTCTGAACTCGCACCCAATCTATTCAAATTGATCTCCAAAAGAGTGGTAAAGCAACGCACGGTAGCCCAGGCCCGCCCTGGACAGTCGGTGCTGGGTTGCAGATATTAGAGGGGCTTTGACTGTAGAAGTGCTAAGAGAGTATCTGTTTATTTGGGGGCTGGTTGATGACCTGGTTTTACAGCCAACAGTTCCTGATCAGCATAAATGGAAGCTATGTATTACTGGAACATACAACAGCAGGTCTGCATACAATGCCTTTTTCCTTGGAAGCATCAGGTTCGCGCCTTGGAAGCATATTTGGAGAAGCTGGGCACCCTTGTGGTGTAAATTTTTTGTTTGGTTGGCCATTAACAACCGGTGTTGGACAGCTGATCGCCTGGCCAAACGTGGGCTTCCTCACCCGCCAGCATGCCCGCTTTGTGATCAGGCCGAGGAAAATATTCAACGCATCCTCATCTCATGTGTGTTCGCCCGACAGATTTGAACCCTGATTTTACAAAAGCTGGACCTACTGTCTTTTGCCCCTCAATGATCTAATATTCGCTGAAATGTTTGTGTTTTTGAAGGTGCTAGGCCTAGCATAAAGGTTCTGTTTCAATCTGTGGACAATGAGAGTAATCTTCGGTGTATGGCGGGAGCTTCGGCCTTACATGAGTTCCTTGCTAGGTCGTTGGTCTTAGATTCCTAGGTCCTTGGTCGTTTGAGGCAGCTGGTCGTATTTCCTAGTTTCTTTTCTAGTATGCTGTATTGACTAGAAGGGCGGGCTTGGTACAAGCGGTAGAGTCTTACCACCTGTGACCGGAAGGTCCCGGGTTCGAGTCGCGGTCTCCTCGTATTACACAGGCGAGGGTAAGGCTTGCCACTGACACACTTCCCTAGACCCCGCACAGAGCGGAAGCTCTCTGCACTGGGTATGCCCTTTTTATGTTGTATTGACTAAACCCCATGGGGGGTGCCTGGGAGGGGGTTTCTTACTTCCCTCCCTTTTGTATATTTTTATTCTTCTTCTTAATTAAATGACACGGAGCTCTCCTGCGTAGTTCAAGAAAAAAATGCTACAAAAGAGAAATGAATTTTGCCGCTAGTATTTTGTGGAAACATTTTCTTAGGTCATTAAGGCTGTAATTTGTTTTATATGCAGGACTTCTCTAAGGGTACGCGGTTGACAGAGTTAAATGTTTTGCTCAGTCAAACTGTCATGGTTTGTTCTTGCTCTTTCAGCCACTTAAGCTTCATTTCATAGCCTACTATGATCTATTACCTCTGCTCCATTGTGGTAGTTCAATCCATACTGTTTGTTGGTCTGTTATGCTAACTCATGTATCTATACAACAACAACAACAACAACAACAACAACAAAGCCTTTAAGTCCCAAACAAGTTGGGGTAGGCTAGAGTTGAAACCCAGCAGAAGCAACACAATTAACTATTTAACGATACTAGTCCTTGGGTTTCTTTTAGCCACCAATTGCACAGTACTTTTTTGTTGTTGTTGCTGATGCAATTCTTTAGCCCTCTTAATTGAGATTTTTAATGGTTCAAAGGCATTTGGCAGAGAAGTGTTACTGTTGGCAAATATTCTAGCAAAAAAAGCTTTACTGTTCTATAACCTGATTTATAAAGAAATGAAGTGCTCATTTCCTAATAATATGCTTGCCATTATTGAAGACTGTTGCATTGTTTGTCACAAGCCATGCAATCACATGATATATTATGTTGAGATTTGATTGCTTATTAACGTCTGCTCCGTCACAGCTAAAGTTAGCTGCTTCATCTGCTTGCTTCTGTGTATAGATTAGGTGGCTGAAGGAGCATTTGTTGAATGAACTTCCCCCCAAGCGGCGACAGATTATTAGGTTGAAGCTAAAGGCACCAGATATCAGGGCAGCCACATCTTCATGCGTCAAAAGGGTGAATAGCAGTTGTAATGGAACTCTTACAGTTGAATTGCCCAGCAAAAGCAATGATGATGAAAATACAAAAGAGGAAGAAGGTATATCCATTGTGCTAACTGCAAACATGAGTTTTCAGTTACATACATATATTAATGAATTTTAATATCAACCTGTGATTTTTCTCTCTTCTGCGTCTACGACTAGTATGATGGTTCTAGTAGTTCTGCATAAATTTGGTTATCTTTATTTTTTATCCAGATGATGATTGCAAGAAATCTCCGAGGAATCTCACTCCACAAGAGATTGGTATCGCAAAATTATCTGGGTTTAGTGAATGGTTCTCAAATCATTTCATCATGGATGGATTTGGTGCTAACCATAACCTGGATCCCCAGTCTAGCTGTCAGAAAACAATAATATTTGCACATCACTTAAAGGTTCTAGACGGAATACAGGTAAGCTGTTTCATGTTTCTCATATATGCCTTATCTGTCATCATGCTATTAGGTGGTTTGTCCTCACTTAAGGATGTATTTTGATTGTCAATATATTAATGCTATTATATCCCATTCACATATTAGACGATAGCATCATGAACTATGGACAAGGGTTCCAATCAAAATTATGATGGTTATTTACTTCCATAGTTTGAAATGTATAAGCCTCAGTACTTCTCAAGAACAATTGAGATTTATTGCGATCATGCTTAAGTATTATTCAATTTTTTTATTGAGTTTGTTGACCACTGGGACGTAACCCTCTTAGCGACGCGCTATATCGGAACCCGGGTATGGTGTTAAATGGGCAAGGGCCGGGTCAGCACCCCCTTGGTGACGCGCTGTGTCGCGATCTGGGCATGGTGTCAAGTGAGCAAGGATCGGGTCGTCATTTCCTTAGTGGCGTGTTACATCGGCGCCCGGGTGTAGTGAAAAATGAGCAAGGGTCTTCACATCTGAGTCGACGGGTGCGAAGGGTAAGGAAGTTAGTCGAACCAACTAAAATTCGTTTAGGTTGTTGGAATGTAGGGTCGCTTACAGGTAAGTTAAGAGAATTAGTTGATACCGCGACTAGGAGGCGTGTAAATATATTATGCGTTCAAGAGACTAAATGGAAGGGTCAGAAGGCGAAGGAGGTGGACAATACAGATTTCAAGCTTTGGTACACAGGGACAGTCACGAATAGAAATAGAGTAGGAGTTTTGATTGATAAGAGCCTCAAGAATGGTGTGGTGTGAGTGAGAAGGCAAGGAGATAGGATTATCTTAGTCAAGCTTGTCGTTGATGATATGGTCTTGAACGTAATTAGTGCGTATGCCCCCCAAGTAGGCCTCGACGAGAGTGCTAAGAGAGATGGCCTGATTAGAGATGTACCTAGTAGTGAGAAGCTTTTTATAGGAGATCTTAATGGGCATGTAGGTACTACAAGCGCAGGTTTCGAGGCAATTCATAAAGGTTTTGGGTATGGTAATAGGAATCAGGAGGAGGAGGAAGTTCTGGACTTCGTGGTAGCTTTTAACCTGATGATAGCCAAGGCTAAAGATACTTGGTGGTGGAACGAGAAAGTCCAAAGGGCTATTAAGGAGAAGAAAGAATGCTATAGACGCTTGTACCATGACAGGAGTGTGGACAACATAGAGAAGTACAAGGTGGCAAAGAAGACTGCAAAGCGAGCTGTAAGTGTAGCAAAGGGTAGAGCGTACGAGGATCTTTACCAACATTTGAGTACGAAGGAAGGAGAGAAGGATATTTATAGGATGGCTAGGGTTCGTGAGAGAAAGACAAGGGACTTCAACCAAGTTAAGTGCATTAAGGATGAAAGGGAGCATCTCTTGGTGAAGGAGGATGAGATCCGACATCGATGGCAAGAGTATTTTGACAAATTGTTCAATGATGAGAATACGGACACAACCTTTCAGTTGGATGACTCTTTTGATGACACCAATAGGCGTTTTGTGCGGAGAATCCAAGAATCTGAGGTCAGAGAGGCGTTGAAAAGGATGAAAGGAGGTAAGGCGATGGGACCGGATGGTATCCCAATCGAGGTGTGGAGATGCCTCGGGGACATAGCTATACTATGACTAACCAAGTTGTTCAACCATATTTTTCGATCGAATAAGATGCCTGACGAGTGGAGGAAAAGTATATTGTTACCGATCTACAAGAATAAAGGGGATATTCAAAGTTGTACTAATTACCGGGGAATTAAGTTGATGAGCCATTCTATGAAGCTATGAGAGAGAGTTATCGAACATCGCTTGAGAGCAATAACGCGGGTCTATATGAACCAATTTGGTTTCATGCTCAACCATGGAAGCCATTTTCTTAATAAGACAAGTTATAGAGCGGTATAGGGAGAAGAAGGATCTACACATGATTTTTATTGACTTGGAGAAGGCTTATGATAAAATACCAATGAATGTTATGTGGTGGTCTTTGGACAAACATAAAGTCCCAACGAGTTGGGCTCATTAAGGACATGTACAATAATGTTGTGACTAGTGTTCGAACAAGTGATGTAGACACGGATGACTTCCCGATTAGGATAGGACTACATCAAAGGTCAGCTTTGAGCCCTTATCTGTTTGCCTTAGTGATGGATGAGGTCACAAGGGACATATAAGGGGACATCCTTTGGTGTATGCTTTTAACGGACGATGTACTGCTAGTTGATGAAAGCCAGACAGGAGTGAATCAGAAACTAGAGTTATGGCGGGAGACTTTGGAGTCCAAAGGTTTTAGACTCAGTAGAACTAAAACTCAGTATATGAGATGTGACTTCGGTACTACTACTCGGGAGGAGGAAGATATTATTTTGAAAGTTCAAGTAGTGTCTAGGAAGGATATCTTTCGATATTTAGGATCAATGCTACAGAGAGACGGAGATATTGATGAAGATATTAGCCATAGAATCAAAGCAGGGTGGATAGAGTGGCGCCAAGCATCTGGTGTCCTATGTGACAAAAGGGTACCACAGAAGCTAAAATGCAAGTTTTATAGGACGACGATTAGACCTGCTATGTTGTATGGTGCAGAATGTTGGCCTACGAAAAGACGACATGTTCAACAGATAAGTGTCGTGGAAATACGTATGTTGCATTGGATTTGCGGTCATACAAGAAGGGATCGAGTTCGGAACGATGATATACGTGATAGATTAGGGGTAGCACCAATTGAAGAAAAGCTTGTCCAACACCGGTTGAGATGGTTTGGACATGTCCAACGGAGACCTTCAGAGGCACCGGTGCGTAGTAGAATCCTAAACTAGGATAGTAACATGAAGAGAGGCAGAGGAAGACTGAAGTTGACTTGGGTAGAGGCAATAAAAGGACTCAGCCTTAGATAGGAGTGCTTGAAAAATAGCTATTCACATGCCTATTGTTAGTCGCTGAATTCTTACTCTTGGTAGTAGTAGAATTCTTACTCTCATCGAGAGAGGATGACACTAGGAGTTGGGGCAATTTTTTGGTTTATTTCTCACACAAATGCCATGCCAACCCGAGGGGTTGGGGATACATATTTATAGGCTGCTAGCCAGCCAAGCACATGCCAAGATGCTAGTCTAAGATGCTAAGATGTTGTCCTCTATGATGTTGTCCTAGATGCTAAGATGCTGTCCTTGTGGCAGCAACAACCAGCAGCCCCACAAAGACCAGACCAGCCAGACTTATCCATCATTCTCCCTCTAAGTCTTGTGCGTCGTCTTGTGGGAAAGTTGAACCATCCCGGTTGTGGCAGAACCTCCTAAATTATAGGGCCCACATGCACCTGTCACTGTCCAACGACCTTTGACATCTATGCATATGTTCTTGGTAATTTAAGAAGACTGTCGGGTGTCCTCGGGGAACCCCGAATCATCCACGATTTCCGAGCAGGATCACATTACAGAGTCATTGTAGTATTACAACAGTTTATTCAAATAAATACATCAGAGTAAAAGTAGCGGAAGACTTACAATAACATAGTTTACAAACCATTTGTTTCAAACCATACAACTAAGTTCGATATTAAAACAAACCAAAGTAGTGGAGCGGCATTATAATATAATACAAAACACACAATGAGGTCTGCTTCGCCCAAGGGCCACAAATACTTCTCAACGTCATCACAAGATACAATCGTCATGCGCAAAGATGATCCACAACAGATCCGCTCATGAGACTCACACCGCAACAAGGTCAGCGAACCACGAGTACAAAAGTACTCAACAAGACTTAACCGAAATAAGAACTAAAAGAACGCAGAAATGCGGGCTCATGGGACTCAAGGTATGGCTTTAGCAATAATCGAGGTTCTTTTTGCGTAAAAGCATTTTAACAAAAATCTATATATCAACATTTAAAACTTCATAAAGATCATATACAAAGTGACATGATCCTCATTGATATCATGAAACTTCATAACCAACACCTTCTCAAACCATCCTCAAGTTCCGATTATTAATTACTACGATGATGAGCAGTGAGTTGAGTCTCCATAACCGAGGAGCAACGATTTATTGAACCGATTGTAAACCCAGCTAGGGATTCCAGACCACACGACATATGTAGGTCCCCGACCTACATATACCAACCTACCCTTGGATCCTCTAAAACAAGAACGGGTCCGCGCCACCCGAGAATACTGATACTCCACCAATCCAGCCCATTGCCCACGTGGGTACACACGCTATTCCGCCATCTCTCCACTCCCAATCTTGCGAGTAGCCATTCTCGTAATAGAATCGCCAAGTTCAGCACGGAGTATGTGGTTAGTACTACAAATTCTCACCTCATGCAATTCAACAACGGACGTGCCTTAATCGACACAGGCGGAAAGATCCCGCTCACAAGACCTCCATGTCTTGTGGCTCACACACACCGAGTTCGCCCGGTCTAGATTTATTACTCCACATTCCCATATCACATGCTAACATAATTAACTAATGTTCCATTTAAAACTTGCAGGTGGCAGGTAGTCACCGACTTCATCGTTCTACGCATAGCTAAGCAAAACTAGGCATATACGAGTTCAAAACTGGTAATATGGTAAATATGGAATAACAAGGGTGGTAATGCATCAATTAGGCTCTTACTTAACTCTTAATCACTTAATGTAGTAACGGAAAGCAAAAGAGAAATTAATTTGTAAAACATAAGGTAGGGTTGTATGCATCCGGGGCTTGCCTTCGTTGACGGAAAAGTCCGGCTCTTGCGACGCTTCACAAGAATTCGGTCCGACCTCAACAGACGGATTAACCTCCTCAACAACTTGATTAACTACCACGTGTTCACCTTCGTTCACTACACGTAATAACAATGCCATGTTTAACATGATGCGGAATACGAAATATGATGCTCGATGATGGATACAAAAATTAACAATTTGAATACAACTTTCCTTCGCGGTACAGTTGCAAGTCAAACAAACTAAATCTTTTTCGTAACACATACATCAACTGCCAAGGATCATTAACAACA